GTTTAGATTACTGACTGACTAACTGTAATTTTTTGTGTAGGTCAAATCTATTGAGGAAACTTGTTATGCTGAATCTTTGTTACCGGTTGATGCTTGTGCTTCTTTTAGGGATTCTCTATATACTGATTGTAGATTATTTGATGAACAAGTAGGTGCCTTGTTCAGTATGTTCATGAGTATTTCATTTAGTTTAATATTTGTGTGGTTTAGTTCATTGTTATTTTAATATGCAGAATCCGCAATTTTTGCCATTTTAAATTACTATTAATTTGACATGACAGGACAATGAAGCTTTGTGTGGCATTTTCCAAGAACATCACACAGCACATGGTTTCAGGAGCCCTGATAAACTTGTCATCTCAATGTTCCAGTACATGAAAAACCGTCATGGTCGTGTAGTTGATGATGATCCACTGCCTGAGAATTCTGCTGCCGGAATCCCTTCTCCAACCAATGTTAGTCACAAAGATGATGATGCAATGGCTCATGAATTTGAAGCCCCAATGCCTGCTGCTTCAACTCATACCATTGTGGAAGATGTTTTGGATACCACATTGCCTGCTGCTGGTGTATTTAATGTGGAAGTTGTTGATCCGACAATGGCTGCTGCTACTAAAAATAATGATGAAGAAGTTTCTGTGACTGAAAAAGTTGATTCAGATAGTGCATACAGTGTTTTTGGTAGTGAGAATTGTGGTGTTTCTCAGGCAACTGTAATTATTTCTTCCAATAACTCATCAGCTCAAGGTAGATAAAATGTTTTTTGTAGCATTTTTCAGCATTGAGTTAACTTTGTATCTCTTGTTCATACTCTTATGAATATTTTTGAGGTGCAGATTCAGGTAGAAGGAAGAGGAAGAGGAAAAACTATGCGTCACAAACTTTCACTCCTGATAGTGTAGCTTCTAGGACTCGATATGGACTATCTCAAGGTCTTGGAAAATCCCCTCTCAGTTGCAGAAAAGATGATTATGTTGAGGTTAATGTTTCTACATCTTATTCATTTTCCTTTTGTAGATAATATGTATTGTGACAAAGTTGAAGGGTTCTTGCTACTGCATATTATTATTAGCAGTAAATAATATGTATTTGTGAATTTTAGGCAAGTGTACTGGATCATGCTGGAATTGGAGGTACAAAGGATAATGCTGTACTTGTTGAAGAAGCCCAAATATTAGCTTCTAAAGCTAGAACCAAACATCAGAAGCTTGAACTAAAAGTGAGTTTCTGTGTTTTGCTGTTTTTTTTCTGTGTGTGCACCTCACAAATTTTTATTTTCAGCTCTATTTTTGAACACCATAAGGCTGTGTATCGCCTCTATCCATCAGTGTTCGATTTTATTTCAGTTTAGTATGTAAAGCACTAGGTTTAGTTTAGATCACATTGGTTTACTGCATTATTGCTTGGATCTTTTTTGTGTGTATTTACGTCTGGTTTAGTTCAGATCACATTCAGTTTATTTTAGTTCAAGTATTTTTTGTTTTTTGTTGGAGCTGACTAAATTGACATTGTTCAGGTAGGTGAAAGAACTAGTGGAGCTGCTAGACCCTCGACCGATACGATTGAGAACACTCTAGGTTTGTCCTGCTGATGAAAAAATGTTTAACAAAATCTATGATACAAACAAGACACATGTTTGAGCATGGTCTCTGTGCAGGAGATGCGTCAAGTAGAAGGAATCCTATTGGTTCTCTAAATCAGAGTGATCAAGGTCTTTGTGCAGTGAAGAATGTCCAAAATGCTTCTAGTCCTAATTTGCATGTTTCAGACCCAAAAACAATTCCCTGCCATTCAAAAGAAACTCAACTGGCTGAAAATACAACTCCTGCTTTGGATTGTACTGGTTAGTACCTATTTCTAGATTGCACATTTGTTTGCAGTAAATCGAAGATTTGAAATACTGCAATTATGGTATTTGATATGTGCAATATCTGTTCTTTGTCACCTGTAAGTTTGAACCTTCTTTACCAATTTAGTATTTGATAAAGCAGGGAAAGCACCTGTTCAGAAACCTTGTATGAAGAATAATGCTCCCTACTTTAATAGTCCTAGCATGCCATCTTTTAGAATGTTTGATGATGAGGATGATTTAGAAAATTATGTTGAAGATCCTAAACTGAGGCGTCCTGTCGGTCCAGTATCTGGTACAGCTTGTACTTCAGATGATAATCTTCAAAGAGAAGCCCTAGTGCTACCTTCTAAAGCTCCAACTACACATCAGAATGTCCAACTAATTGTGAGTTTTGTATTTTCTGTGTTTTTTTTGTTTTGTTTGAAGTCATAGAACAAAAAAAAGAGTTTCTTGTAACTTGTCTTATTGTTCTAACACTTGAGTTACTTTCACTCTTTGATAGGTTTAATCCGAGAGCAGCTTCTACTTCTAATTTTGCCCTGCATCAGATGGTTGGACGTTTGTTGACCGGATGAGGTCTAATCCATTTGGTGGAGGCGGTAATGTGAGCAATTAGGAAACTGTTCAGACCGAAAGAAATGACAATGTTAAAACTGTAAGCTTGTTTGTTAGATTGGATCGATTTTGTATTGTGACATATCTTGTGACCTCTTTTCTGTAACTAATATTGTAGTTTTTCTTGATTAGGACCTTGTGCGAATGGAGTCTTTACCTTTTACTGAGACTCCTGAAGAATCAATTGCTCCTGTTCCTCTAGCTGCAATCAGCCCTTCTGGAGTACACATTGACATTGTAAAATGGGATTTGTAGTTTTATCAATTTGGAACAATTTGTTAGTAGTTGGGGCTGCTCTCAGTCATGTAATAGCTAGTACAAGTGCTCTCAGTCATGTAGTATCGATACTCTAGTGTACCTTAGCGGTACTAGTGGTGTATATATAGACAATGAAGGCAATAGAAGCATTTCTATTGTCCCATTCTTTATACCTCTATTATGTCAATTTTAAATCAGACATAATAGAGGTACCTATTATGTCAATTTTTAGTTTATGATTTTTGAACAAGTTTATGTTTTTTTTCTTGATTTTGCAGGCACCTACACCTCTTCCATCCCATCGAAGTGGGACTTCTGTTTCTACAAAAAGTATGGGAAGCAATGGTTTATCAGACAACTCTGAGTCCTTTTCAAACCAAGGTCCTTGGTACTCTTCTAGTGCAAAGTTAGCTGTTCATCGTCCTAGGAGGACAGTGATCCCAAGCAAATACAAGTTGAGCCCTTATATGATGCCTCATTCGAAGATAACAGTCTCCAGACTTGAAACTGACATATATGAGGTTGTTTTGAAGATGGCAGAAACTGAACATTCCAAGTAAGTTTTCAATGTTTACAACGTCCTTACCGTTTTCACCACTCTTGAATAGACTTGAATCAAGTAATTATGAATTGTTTTCATTTGTCTCAGTCTTGTAGTGAATGCTTTGTGTAGATTGTTATTCCATAGGAAACACCCTAAGAATTCTTACAAGCATTATTTCTTCTCTAAAGTTGGTGTAAGTGTCATTTGTTTCTCTTTTTTTTCTCAATTACATGTGGTAACTATATCAAATAAAATAATATTGACCAATCTGTTTTTGTAGGACTATTTTATTGGAAATCACGGTCCTAATGATAGCAAGGAGAAGGAGCTATATGATAATGCAGTGAAATGCTTTAAGGGTGCTGGTCGTGCAAGGTCATTAGCAAACAGCCAATATGTGAGTAACACGTTCTTTTAATTTTTTAAGCTTTAGCACATATGTTTTGTGCATTGCAGTTGTGCTAATAATCCCTTCCTTTTCATTTTGGGTTATTTTGTCAGCTTTATTTTCCAATTCTCTTCCATGATCGGTGGTATGTGGTTGTTGTGTATATCACTCGAAGATTGATTGTAATCTTGGATTCCTGTACTCTACATTTTGGAGCAGACTCATATTTCCATAAAGCTGTCCGTGATGAATTTGTAAGTGGCAGCAGCACATGGATTCACATCATTTTGTTTGAATGCAATGTGAAATTTTGTTCAAATAAGAAAAAATATATATCTGCACTCTAATTATTTCCTCTATCTGCTTTTAGATACCAAACTTGACCACAGTCTGGAGTGAAGTTGTTCAAATTGACTTTGGGTTCCATGGATATGAAGTAATCTATGCAGATGTACCTCAGCAGACTGAGAAGTAGGTAGTGTACAGTCTTTTTTTAGATCATATCATTTTGTGTGGTGCTTATAATATTCTGTCTTGTCTTTCTCATATCTTTGTTTCAGCTTTAGCAATGATAGTGGTATCTTTGCGATGAAGAATCTAGAGCTTTGGGAGCTAAATGTCTATTTGATGGACAAGTTTTGTGAAGCTGATATTGGGCATCTTCGTATCAAGTACATCAATGACATGATTTTCAATGAATACAATAGTTCTGAAGATGGTCGATCTAAAGTGATGAAATATGATGCTGAGGTAGTACTAGTTGCAATGTCAATTTGTGTATTGTTCCATCATGTACTCAATTGATTTTTGTTTCTAATATTTTTTTCTCAGGTCTACGAACAGTACTATAAGAGAGCATGACCTACGTGTTGTGTTTGGATCTTGTGTTTAGGTTCCTGTCATGTAGTGTGTAGGTTGATGCTATGAGTGCATGGTACTTTGTAAAGAAGCAGCTACGTTAATGAGAATAGTTGGTGCTGAAATGGTTGTAAATATTAATCTACAGTCAAGAGGCTAAACTAAAGTGGATGATAATATTTGGTTGGATGGTTTGTTTGGATGCTTGATGTTAACTATTTTTTGAACCATTATTCTAAGTTTATGTTCTTCTTTGTTTGTTTGTTATTTTTGTCCACTATGTGTCAGTGTAGTAACCTTTGATAGCGAAGACAAGGACAAGCTTGAGATTTGTGGAGGTCCCTCTTGTTCTTCTAAAGATGATGTATGATTCGGTTCGTGTGTGCTTTCTCTGTTATTGTGTGCTCCAAGTTGTCTCTTGTGACTTGTTTGTGCTAACACATCTTGAAATCTGTTAATTGTGATTTGTGTCAACACACACCGCCATGCTCGGTGCTGTCCCAGAGCGCTACTCATGGACTGGAGGAGAGATTGGGTTTGACACCTACTTCTCCATGGCCAGGGGCAATGCCACTGTCCCTGCTATGGAGATGACCAAGTGGTTCGACACCAACTAGTAAGTCCTTTGCCTGCTACTAATGGTAATTTCAGTTTCAGATTTTGTATTGAATATTTTTCTGACAAACTTTGTTCTACTTTTACAGCCATTTTATTGTCCCTGAATTGGGCCCTAACACCAAGTTCTCCTACACTTCTCACAAGGCTGTTAACGAATACAAGGTGGCTAAGGCGGTACGATACACTCATTGTATTTCTGTTATCTCAGTTTAATGTGCTAACCTATTCTCCTAATGTTAATTTCCTACTTGTGTACTTGATTGTCTGATGGTTGCTAATACATTTGTATTTCTTTTGACATCATAATTACCCGATAAAGTCATTTGATAGTTTAGCATGCTGGCTTCAGCTAATTGAACCTCAAACTAGTAGCTGATGGTTTTGGATAGCTGGGCTGTCTTGTGGCTGTTGTAGTAGAATATCATGAACTCACATCTTTTAACTCTATTATACTATACAAGAAACCTGTGTTTAGTATCCATTTATTGATTGCACATTTATAAGTAGTAAATTGCAATAAGCTATAATGGAAATTGCAAGTATCGGGCACCGCAATTGTAATTCTGAGCGTATGCAATATGCTGGCGTTGAACTATTTGCCTCCTTGTCCTTTGTTTATTGTGATTTGTGCTAGCACACACCGTATTTTTGTCCTTGTCCTTCCATAGAAAAAAATTGTTCTTGTGATTTGTGTAACACATTTGAAATATTTGTCTTTGTTTTTCTGTAGTAAAAATTGTATTCTGTTTATTGTGATTGTGCCAGCACACACTTAGGATCTTCCTTGTTCTAAAATGTAGCTAATAATGGCATAAATGATCCTATGATTTCAAATAGATGTTCCCCATCTCTTTGTTTTGCAGACTAACTCTTAAATATTAAGTCTTAAGTCACCATAGTCACCATTTGTCTTTATACACAAAACCAACTCTTAAGTCTTACCTTCTATGTTTGCAGACTATGTGAGGGTGCTGAACTATTGGACCTTATTTTGGCCAAGTAAGGAGGCAGATCATGTAAGACTGTACCTTTTTTGTTCCTAGAACTTCCTGTACTAGCTATTTGGTCACTACTTCCTGTGTCAGCACTCAGTAATATAAGTTTACTAGTTTTTGGGTTGCGATTTTGCTAAGGCTGGCATTTTTGTAGATGTATTTGCTAGCTCTGATGTGTTTGGCAGCTGCATTTTGTAGGTAGTACTTTATGATTATATCTGCAGATCTGTTGTAGTGGTTGCTTTTGTTTGTTGCCTTTTTTATTTTTCATGTTAGTGGAATGGTGGGGTCTCGTGTGTTGGTTAGGCCCACTTGCTAACTTTATTTTTTTTGAACTATTTTTGGTGCTGTCTGTAGATCTATTTTTGCATGCAGTGCTTGTTCATCTGTCAGTGATTTTGTCATTTTTGTGCTAGTTGATCTATATATTCTGCAAGTATGTCTGAATAAGTGAAGGCTAAGTAAATCTAGAAAGTTTTCATCAAATTGTCATTTAAAATTTGTGTAATCTCTTGTGGTGAGACTAATTCACTAGTTACTCTGTTGGTTGCATGCAGGAGAATGTACTTGCTCCCATCTGAAAAAAGAACCGAGCTGAAGAGATAGAGGTGACAGGCACTTCGGTTGTCCCTCAAATTTGTAGGTGCTTACTACATCCAATCTATATATTTGTCCCTCAAATTTTGTGTGTGTGGTTAATGGAGGAGAATGGATAATACTTTATCTATATTCATGACAAGCAGCCAACTCCCAACAGTGTATGATGTCATCAAGTTCAATTATTTGGCTTGGTTGTTACTATTCTTCTTGTTGGTTTCTAAATAAATATGAGCATCCTATCAACTATCGACTGTGTTTGATATTCTGTATTTTCTAAGATAACATTCATAAGTGTTTCTGATGAAGATTCTAATTGGGTGCGAACAGCGCAGGGAATTTTCTTGTCTGTTCTGCTTGAAGCTAAAACAACAACATTTTGGTGTGTTCAGTATATTAGGCTTGTTCAGACCATGACAATGATAGGATAGAAATCATCTTTATTTGTTTTGTTGTGCTACAGTTGAAGGAAATTTGAAAATTTATGAATTGTCAATTATTGGCAACCACCGATTTAATTTAATGTCTGTACTACTTGGAGTTTCACAAAGTTTCACAATTGTAATCACCGATAATATAAATTGGAGTTTCACAATTGCAATCACCGATAACATAAATTGCAGATATTGGGCACTGCAATTGTAGTTCTTAGCATATGTAATTTTAGATGTAAGCATAATTTAATTTAATGTCTGTAACATCATGCTCATTACATAAATTACATAAATATGTTGGCTACTTAAATTTTGCTTCTATCTGCTGATCATTGTGAAATGCTGCATGTCTTTGACCACCGTGTCCTTAGTGTGGTGTGGCTTCGGGATCAGTGCTACCATTTGATGTTTCCTTCCTCTTCTTTCTTTTTGGCTTCCCCGGGGAGCCTACAAAATATTATTAGTTCACATAAATAAGAATTTTTGCATTTGGATTCAAATTCTATTTTTTATGTCCTTAAATTTTATACCTGCACTGTCTGTGTCATTTGTTTTCTTCTTTTTCTTCTTTTCTGCCACCAGTTTCTTCTTTATTTCTTCTATATGTGTCTTCATTCTGATAGGTTTAGGTGGCCTTCCCTTTCTCTGAATTCTTTCTGGATCATCTATTTCAGTCTGTGGATCTCCAGCTTGTGTTGCTATAGTTTGTCCTTCTTCATTTCCTTGCTGGTCATTTTGTGCTTCACTTGTTTGCTAAGCACATAGCATTCTATCTAAATTGATTTCCATCTTGTCGAATTCTGCCATAAGGTATTCCATGGCTTTTTCATTTTTTGATCCTTTTGAATTCAGTATTATTGATCTCCTGGATAATATGTTGAATCTCAACAATGAGCTTGTTTCAAGTGTTTCTTCTTCTTGTCTTTCAACATGTACCTTCATATCCTTTTTTCTCCAACTGTCTAAGAAGTATTTGTCTAGAATTGTGCTGATTTCCTTTTCAATGACTATTTTTAGGATATGAGAGCAGAGTATGCCATCTTTGCTGAATTTTGCACATATGCAGGTAAATTCTTCTTCTCCTTGTGTTAGTTCAGTGTTTACTGTATATCTCCTGAACCTATGAACCTCCTGAATCTGGTTACTTTTTTGCCACACCTCAAATGTTTTTCCATCTTCAGTTTTCCTGTAGTTCAGCCTTGATGTTGCCTTCAGTTGTAGCTGAAACTTTTTGAATATGTTTCTGTTGTATAGCTGTTGTGCCTGCTGCTCTATTCTGTAGCCGAATATAAATTCCTTTGGCCTTTTCTGCTTGCTATAGCTGTCCTCTAGCCTTTCTGTTCGATTTATGGTATGAACAATCCGATTGTACTCTTTCAGAAAGCTGATGATACTATAGGTTGGCCCTACATTGTCTTTGAACCTCGCATTTGTTGCCTCACTCCTGGATGTGGTCTGTATGAAAGGGAAAATGTCATTTTTGTACTAGACCGGGATAAACCTTTTCCTCATTTCCCACATCTTGGAAAAGTAGTTATTCCCTTGAAGGTTTCTTTCCTCAATCATTCTCTTCCAAAGTCGCTCAAATTCTTCCACCGTTAGACTATTGTTCACTATATCTTCGAAGTCTTCATATAGTCCTTCGTTTGCTGCAAAGACCTTGACATTCTTATTGTAGCATTTGGTCTTTATGTGGAACAAGCAATTTCTGTGCTTTGTGTTTATGAAGACTTGCTCTATTGCTGATTTCATCGCCATGTCTTGGTCTGTGATGATTATTTGAGGGTGTTTTCCTCCCATTGCTTGAAGGAAAGTTTGAAATACCCACTTAAAAGTGTCCACTGTCTCATCATGCAGGAAAGCACATCCGAAAAGGCAACTTTGCCCATGTCCGGTGATTCCAACAAATGGTGCAAAAGGTAAGTTGTATCGGTTGGTCATATATGTTGTGTCAAAACTTACACATTCTCCATAATCTGCATAATATTTCATAGAAGAACAGTCTGTCCAAAACAAGTTTCTCACTCTCTTGTCCTCATCTAAATCAAACTTGTAAAAGAAAGATGGATCCTCAGTTTGTTTCTTTCTGAAATAATCCAGTACTTGTGTCATATCTGATCCTCTAACTTCTCTGTTCAGCCTTGTCCTGTAGTTGCTGATATCTTTCTTTTTCATCGGTATAGCTGTAAGCCCCCCTCTAAGATACGATAGAATAGAAACCATCTTCCTAGTCGGGATATTGTTATCGTTCAGAGTCTTGATAAGTCCTTTTTCCATTTCTATCATATACTTGTGACCAGAAAATAGCTGATCCCTGTCTCCAGGGCATAGCTCATGATTATGCTCCAAATCAAGAGTTTTAACCTTCCATACAGCTCCTTCTTCTTTCACCATCATAACACAAGGACAATCTGACTTCTGCTGAACATTTGTTTTCCTTCTTCTTATCGGTTTATTTCCAACATCCTTATCTACTTCAGCTTCTTCCTGCTCCAAACACTTTGGTTCCTTTTCTTTTCCTTGACGAGTGCATCTCATTGTTACTTTGACTACCTCATTATTTCTCTTCTTACTTTGAGTTCTTGTTGTATGTGTTATGGCAACTTGAAATCCAGCTAGGAACGCATAGAAGTTGAAGAAATGGTGAGCATCATCCCTACTTTTAAATTCCATCGATAGCTGTGGGGTGTACTTGCTGTTGATTGGTGCATTGTTGCCTTCAGATGCTGCAACCTGCTCATTTTTTATGAATTCTTCAATCTCTTCCTCTGTCAGTTCCTGGCTGCCATTTACATGTTCATTATCATCTATTACTGTTGATGTAATATCTGAACTTGTTGGTTCTACTGCTATGATCCTCAAGTCATTTTCTCCCATTGTTGGTTGGTCATCTTGATTTTCATGCTGCACCTATAAATATATTAGCAGCAATCAGTTTCTGAGTAATGCGATTTATAATAAAATATTTTTTTTTCCAGTGTGGACTAAAATAGTTGAAGAGATCATTTTTTATGTACCTCATCAATGTCCATGTTATTGAATATATCAGTTTGCCAATGGTATTGTTGAATTTCAGATCTATCATCATCAGCTATGCTTGTCGTTGCTCCATCATCATCAGCGACGATTGCCATTTCTCCATCCTGTTTTTGCAAAGATAAGTTTTACTTTGATGCCAGTACATATTTGTATTGGTTATAAATGTAATCAAACTGGCTCAGCTGTCTGTATGTACCTCATATGACAGCCTTGAGTCTGATATTGACTAGTCAGTTTGTGGTCCAAAGATTCCATCTAGATCTTCAAGTCTTATATTCTATTTTATTTGTTTGATAATGAGAATGGTTACCATTTATAATATAACACAACTAGTCTTGTTGCTGCACAGTTTATAATGAAGCCTTGAAATTAAAGTATTGTTATGCTGAAATTACATTGCACATATGTGTGTAATTTACATATGTGTGAATTGTAATTTTTGTGTACTGGTATTATAAAATTTTACCTGCGTATTCCAGTCAGTTTGATCATCTTCCTGAGAGTTCCTGATCTGTTCCATCATAAGTTCAGTGTAGCCTCCCTGCATTGAAATATATTCTAGTCGAAAAACAACCTTCTTATGTTGGCATTTTTTTGATTCTAAGCAATGATTTTGCTCATCTTTTTGTATCTGTAGGTATTTGAAAGGTCACTGGAATAATTTGTGCCTGCAAATATTTGGTAAGGAGCTGACTGCACTTCCTTAATTACTTCTTGTGATTTCACTGATGTTAGATAATCATCACATCTACTTGTTGTGACATACATATTATTCTGCTTCATAAAAAAAGCAAGCAGATGAGTACTTAC